GAAGCAGCTGGTGAAGTGTTTGTGGTGTTCCTCGGGATCATCTGAGAGTTAAAGGGCTCTGCTGGGCTGGTCACTCTGCAGGGATCCATGGGCACCACCACAGAGGTGGCACATGCTTTGGCCTGTGCTCTGGGGAGCTGCTTGTGCCAGGATGCTGCTGCTCTTGGGGTCACCCTGCAGCTGGGAGTGAGGACTGGCAGGAGAGCCCACAGCCCTTCCCTGGCTCCCACAGCCCATTCATGTGTGTCTCTTATTTCTCTGTAGTATCAAGGTGAGATTTTTAGTTTTTCAAAAAGTTTTCAAAGATCACTGCTACTGAGATTTACAGAGGGAAGGCACTGAGGGAGGAGGTATTTATAGCATTTCCATATACTCTGAACAAATGCAGTCATTTGACTTTGCTTTCTGGGAGTTGTTTGGTTTAATCACTATAAACCTTCTTTTAAATCTCCTCCAGCACTCTAAAGACAGTCATTCTGTCAGGGCAAGAGGTGGCATCTTCACCACCATCATCTTTGTATCTAGATGGAAATATATGGGAGCCATGTGACTTTTCACATGGGCAGATAGTGATAGGACAAGCAGAAATTGTTTTAAAGAGGTGAGATTTAGGTGAGATATTAGGAAAAAATCATCCCTGGAAGCGTTCAAGGCCAGGCTGGACAGGACTTGGAGCAACCTGGGGTAGGGGAAGGTGTCCCTGCCCATAGCAGGGGTAAGAAAAAAGTGAGTTTTATGGTCCTTCCAACCCAAGCCTCTTTGATTTCTGACCTCTGTGATTTTCCTGTTGACTAACAAAATTTGGGTGGGTTGCTCAGCAGTGCCTCTAACTGGTGGGGGTATCTTGACCTTCAGTGTGCAGGAGAAAAATCAGGTCTGAAGTGATTATTGTGAACCATAAAATCAATGTGTCCATATTGTCTTTGGTATGAATTGTCACTGGGGCTCATTTCCACTTGGACTCTCTACAAATAACACATCCTACAGTTCATTACAGCTCCAACCTTGAAGTGTTCCTCGAGCTAATGAAAATCAGAGGTCAGGTTGCTTGGAATGCAGCTGTTCCAGTTCTCTTTGCTATTGGAAACTGCCTCCCAAAGCAGCTCCTTCCAGCCTGGAGACCCTGTGGCAAAGGCCAGCCCAAAGCCCTGCAGCTGGAATCTCCACAGGGATAATGCCACTGATGCCATTTGCTGCAAGATTATTCTATGGTTGTTTTATTTAAAAGGCAAATGAGCTTGCCTTGTAGGAGAGATTATTTCAGAGCATTCTGCTTTATGTGTGAGGAAATGAGGTCGTTCCTTCAGCCCTTCCCATGGGGAAAGGGGGATGCATGGAGCAGGATGGGGATAGCAGCCAGCCCTGACGTTTGAGGGCAGGGGAACTTGTCTCCACAGCTGTGACTGGGGGCCTTTGAGGTGATTTAACAAAAATAAGGATGGTGTGAGTAGGTCTTCGAAGTTCCCGGAATGACTGGAAATGTTTCCAGGCCGTACTGAATCAGCAATAGCAGCAGAACACTGGCACTTGAGGGCAATTGCGGTGCTTAAATCTGACCCCAAATACTTTGGCTGTGACCCTGGTGGTGCTGCTAGGTACCAGCCTGGTGGGGTGGGAACAGGGGCTGGATTTCACATTCTCTTGTGACTCAAGTTTTAGTCTTTCAAAAAGCAAACACCTGGAAGGAGGAGGAGAGGATCCCACCATGCCCAGCTGGTTTTTGAGGGTCCAGAGGACTTTCCAGTATAAGACTCTGCAAACAGCTCCTCTCCCTGCCCAGGGCTGCATCCTTGAGAATTTCCCAAGCCCCTGAGGGCAGGTGCAAGGTGCTAATTTGGAAACATGCTGCTTTCTAAAAATAATTACAGAAGGAAGACTGTAAACAAACATCCTCCTCCCCAAAATCAATCATCCACAGCATACTGTGAATTCCAACTGCTTGCTGAAATAAGCTTTAGAAGATCCTGTGAGCAGGAAGAGCCCACTGCTGCAAAACTGGAAGAGTAAGCATGACTTCCATGTTCTTCTGTTGTTCCACACCTTTTTGGAACAGGGGTGATGTTCCCAAGCAAACTGAGCTGATGGTCCTGCACAGTGAGGTCCTGCTCCAGTGCCCACAGGAGTTACAGTTCTACATGGCAGCACAAGCTGATTTTAAAATATAAAAGGCTGTGACCATAGCAAGTCCAGAAAAGATCCATGCCTGCTGAGCTGTAGCCCTTTGGAGGGGTAAGTCAGCAACTGGAATGCTCCTGACTGGTGGGATTGGCCTCAGAGTCAGGAGGGAATGCTGCCTGCTTCTCCTATGGAAACACTGGGATGTTCTTGTCTTCTCAAGGTTTGTCTCCTCTCACAGACTGAGGAAGCAGTGAGCCTTAGTTCAGCCTTGTGTTGAGGGCCAAGGACAGACTGTTCTGGATGGGCTTGCTCTGATTTTGGCTTTTGAAGCCCATTCTAAGAAGGTGTGGTTTCTGAGTTTGCTGGGCAGTCAGAAGTCCTGTTTTATGTTTGCTGAGGGTTTCAGTGAGGTTAATTTGCAATTGCACTGACTAATGCATCCCCAGTTCTTCAAAGCTCCTGATCCTTTTGTGTTTGTCACTTGCAATGTTTCTTAGAGCCTTATACTTCTGTAGCTCGGGTAGTGAACCCTTTGAGCACAGATACATGAACAGGGCTGTGTTTTGTTGGTCCTGGGTCTTTCTCTTCCAGCAAAGCCTGTGCTGCCCTTCAGCCAAGCCAGGTGGTACGGAGGGATCCCAGGAATGTGCCATGGGAATACTGTGGTTTCCCCCCTTAACAGAGCAGCAGTGTTCATGCTGTCTGCTGGTAAGTGGGCAGTGACTTTGGGTCTGGCTTACTGACCCTGGACACCACTGGACGCCCCAGAAACTTTGTGCTGCTGTGCCCTCCCCTTGTTCTGCCTGACCAGACTGTTTGATGTCAAATAGCCATCAATTTCCCCAGGAATTCCTGGCAGTGTCCCCAGCAGCTGGGAGCTGGGCTGAGCTCCTGGTGACCGTGCCAGCCAAGCCAAGGGCTGTTGCCAGTCCAGCTCCAAGCAGGGGCTGTGTCACAGGGGCTGTGGGTAGCAGGGCACCCTGGGCACTGTCCCTGGAGAAGAACAGGGGCCATGTGGAGGGATTTAACCGAAGAGAAATGTGACATGCTGTCACCTCTGCCAGTTGGGGTGGCTCTGCCTTGTCCTGGCCAGTGGCTGCTGTAGCCCTGGTGCAGGAACAGGAGTAACCTGTTGTTTTGGGGTGTAGGCACAGCTGATCCAGGGGTGCCTCTGCCATGGCTCTGGTCAGGCTGCTCCTACACTGCCCCATTGGGATGGGCTGTGTGAGTCAGGCCGTGGGACTGGGCCAAGAAGTTGCTGTTGGAGAGGATGTTCCACATCAGGCAGCTCTGGCAGGGGGACCATGGTCACCTCTCACCTGTACGAGGCAGAGAGTGATGGGTAGTGGGATGGGTCCTCTCCTGCCATCAGGACACTACTCAGTTTGTGCTGGACTTGGTGTAGTGGCCTGAGGGAACTAGAATGAGTTTGGTGCAGATCCAGGCTGGAGGCAGCTGGGTTGGCAGCCCTGCACAGGCCTCTCCTCCTCTGCCAGCAGCACCATTATGGTGCTGCTCAGCATCTCTGGGCACAGAAATGCTGCTGGAAACACACATCTCCTCCTCTGTAAGTCTTCCCTTTTAGTTCTTCCTTTGAAGAAATGCAGCTTTAGTTCTTAGTGTGCTAAATAGTGGGATGTGTAAATGCAGGCATGTCCACATACTGTCAGTAAGGCTCACGGGGCTGATCTGTGATTGCCCCACAGGGAATGTGGCTCTGTTGGAAATGGTGAGGCAGGCGTGGCATGGGGAGTAACTCCAGGTCTCTGGGACTAAGGAGGCTGCTGGCAAGGACTAGGATGTGTTGTGGGGTGCAGGGGAAAAGCAGTTTGGGATTGCACAGGACTTAACAGGAGGAGCCAGAGGTAGGATAAGAAAGGGAGTCTGGTGACTTGGGGTGAACTGAGAGTACAGGGGTAGGGGGATAAAGGGGGCCAGGTGTGTGTGGGAAGGTGGCTGGTCAGTGTGTTTGGCCATGCCCTGCCCAGTGCAGCCTGTCCTGCCTGCACAGCAGCTGAAATGGGACTGTGGCCTTAGGAGCTTGTATATCCTGGGCAGACTGAGAGCCTAAACATGGCTGCTATGGAATCCACATGGATTTTACTTGTATTTTATACATATTTTCACTGGTGGACTTCCATCTTGTCCAGCCAGAGACAGGAGCAGGGTGGCTGCTGTCCTGCTTCCTGTGGCCAGCCACATATCTATCCCTTTGAGTGGGATGTGTGTGTTCTGTGTCTGCTAGGCACACATCTCCAGCCTTGCTGCCACTTGGATGTGGGGCGATGGAGTAGCAGCCTCACCCTCTTGGGCTGTTGCATCCAGACAATGTCTTTTCCTCTGGCATGGAGCAGCTGGGCTTGTCAGGGGCTTCAAATGTGTGTTCCTACCATCAACATCTAACAAATTTTATGGCTTCTTTCCATTTTTATAGGAAAAAACATCGCCCTGATCCAGACATTGAAACTTGTCAACTGATGGGACAAAGAACTGAGACACTTGGCTGTACTAGGACACTAAAACATAGGGTTTAGCCAAAAAGTATTTCTCCACTGTGGAGGCTTACACCTGCCAAACCCTGTAGCATTCTTGGGAGGCTTTTCTATCCCTCTTCTCCATTTCCAGATTTCCACGCATCATGGTATTCCTTTTGACTTCTTTTGCAAGCTAGCTCTGGCTCTGCCTTCGCTTCCCCTATGCTTTGGTGTGGGTCCCCGGCGTGAGCTGCTGCCTGTGGGCTGGTTCTGCACCTCTGCCTCCAGCTGCTGCTCGGAGGCTCCTCTCGGATGTTGTGACTGACCTGCTTTTTCTCTCTCTTCCACCGTATCTCTTTCCCTCCAACCTGTCTCCTGCGTTCTCCATTCTCCCCTCCATCCCTGCAGGTTCATCATGCCTAGTGGCATATAAAAAGACTCCACCTCCCGTCCCACCTCGGACCACGTCCAAGCCATTCATCTCTGTCACTGTGCAGAGCAGCACTGAGTCGGCGCAGGACACCTACCTGGACAGCCAGGACCACAAGAGTGAGGTCACCAGCCAGTCGGGGCTCAGCAATTCCTCAGACAGCTTGGACAGCACCAGGACACCCAGCGTGACCAGGGGCAGCATCGTCACTCCAGCCAGAGACACTCCAGAGTTACCTCAGAAAAATGCAACTTTGAAAAGTGACAAAGGGACTCTGACTAACGAAGAGCCTAAAGTGGAGAATATCCCCAAAAGAAAGCTATCATCAATAGGAATACAAGTATGGAATAGTTTGTTCTCCTTTGTCCCAAGGAATGTCCTTGCCCCATCCATTTAGCGTGTGCCTTCTCTGTGACCAGGTGTGCATCTGAGCTCACTTAGAATAGCAAGAGCCACTCACTGCCTTGTCTGAATAACTGCCTGTATTCCCAGGGTGAGAGACAGCAGCACTTTCCTTTAACAGCCCAGAAAGGACTAAGCTCTTTTAGTACAAATTTTAAATGTTTTCTAGAGCAGAGGGACCATGTTAACTGGGTGAGTCCCTCTGAGGACACCTTTGGCTGCTTATCTGCCTGTGCCCTGTACTCTGTATTGCTTCCCATCAGTCTGCTCCTTGTCCATCATGGTTCTAGGGACAATTCTTCCCTGAGAGGTGGGTCCTTCTGCTTGATGTCCATGTGCAAAGGGCTGCTGCAGTGCCAAACGATCCCAGGCTGCAGGCAGGAGGGAGCAATTCCTTGCTGCCCAGCATTCCCAGCAGGTTGATACTTCCCTTGCTGGAAGCATTTAACCATGGGAATCGATGGAAATGAGCTGTGATAACAGTGAAATGAGAACTCAGTGAGCAGTGTAAATCCATGCTTTGGTCAGCAAAATGCATCCTCTGGGGCCATGCCCTCCTCTGGGACAGGTTTCTCAGTTACAGGTGGATGTGAGCTGTGGTTCTGTGCTAGGTGCTGGTTACCAGCAGAGGAGAACTTGGGCAGCTCCAAGAGCAGGATCCAAGCTTTGAGCTGCTGTGTGTGTGCTGAGCGAGTTCTCCATCAGGTTTACAGCAAGGCCAGCTCAGTACAGGTGACAGTGAGGGCCTCTCTGCAAGGCTGGTGCAACAGAACACCTGGAAGGACAGCAAGGGGAGAGAAACGGGAGAGGCTGACTGCCTTCCTTTGCTTTTCCTTTTCTGAGCTGGTTCCTAAGTCACCTGGATTTCTTTCCTAAAACCTTCTAACCCTCTTATCCAGAGCCATGGAGGGTGTCAATCCCTGGGAGAGAGGCTTTGCTGTCAGTCTCAGTCATCTCTCTGTCCTCCCTTGAATGCTGTGGCCCCTAACTGTGGGATGTCACAGGCACGGGGACACAGCCCCAACCCTGGGCTCCTGGCACAGGTGGTGGCAGCAACCTGGCAGGACACAGCCCTGGTGCTGAGGTGGCTGCAGAGCTGAGCAGTAGCCCTGCAGAGCTGAGCAGTAGCCCTGCAGAGCTGAGCAGTAGCCCTGCAGAGCTGAGCAGTAGCCCTGCAGAGCTGAGCAGTAGCCCTGCAGAGCTGAGCAGTAGCCCTGCAGAGCTGAGCAGTAGCCCTGCAGAGCTGAGCAGTAGCCCTGCAGAGCTGAGCAGTAGCCCTGCAGAGCTGAGCAGTAGCCCTGCAGAGCTGAGCAGTAGCCCTGCAGAGCTGAGCAGTAGCCCTGCAGAGCTGAGCAGTAGCCCTGCAGAGCTGAGCAGTAGCCCTGGGCCTGTCCTTAGCCAGCCCCACTGTGTGGTGTCGACATGCTCTGTGTGCACACTCCTGCTCTGCTAACGTGGATTCCAGCCACAAGTTCTTGTGTCTGTTTTTGTCTGTATTTTTTTTTTGTTCAATAAGGTTGACTGCCTTCAGCCAGTGGCAAAAGAGGAGCCTCCTCCACCAGCCACCAAATTCCAGTCCATCGGGGTACAGGTAGAGGACGAGTGGCGGTAAGTGAGATGCAACTTGTGCCGTTTCCTTTTATTTTAAATTGTGCTTCCCCAACTTGTGCTTAGACCTTCTTCCCTGCTTTGTGCCACTGAGTGGTGTTGAATGGGGCCCACTGAGAGCTCTTCCTCCACAGCATACACCTGCTGCAAAAAGCACTTGTTCTCTAACAGCGAAATCAATGGGAGCTTGAAATTAAAAAATAAAAAATTCCAAGCAGTAATTATAGACGTGCATCGGCCCTCTCATCTGAACAGCCGATTGCAGTAAGCAGGCAACCTTATAACTCCGTCTGTCTGAGTGTGTGGTGTGTCTGTGTGTGAGCAGGGGCAGGGAGAGGCTCTGCTGTGGCCGTGGATTTTGCTGTCAGTGTGGGAGGCCGGCCTGGCTGAGCTCTGCTATTGAACGATGGCTTTTGATCCCTGCAGAAACAGCCACTCCCGCAGCATGTCCTCCAAACAGGACACAGACTCTGACACGCAGGAGCCAAATAACTCCAGCTGTAAATCATCTGAGAGAAGCCTCGCTGAGTGCCCCCAGCACAACAACTCCGTTGGTGTTGATGCCTCCACCAGGCAACCAGCCAAGCCCTCACAGATTAAGAGAAACCTCTCCTATGGAGACAACAACGACCCGGCCCTGGAGCCTTCTTCTCTCCCTCCTCCTGACCCCTGGCTCGAGAGCTCCTCCATGTCGCCATCGGAGCCGGCGCAGCCGGGGCCCTGCCGGCGGGATGGCTTCTGGTTCCTGAAGCTGCTGCAGGCAGAGACTGAGCGCCTGGAGGGCTGGTGCCGTCAGATGGACCAGGAGACCAAAGAGAACAATCTCTCTGAGGAAGGTGCGTGTGGGCAGCGGCTCCTCCCTCCAGAAGGAGTTTGGAGCTGAGTATTGGGTCAGTTAAATTGTGGCTGCCCCATCCCTGGAAGTGTCCAAGGCCAGGTTGGACAGGGCTTGGAGCGGCCTGGGATAGTGAGAAGTGTCCCTGCCCATGGAATGAGATCAGTGCTAAGGTCCTTTCCCTCCCAAACCATTCTGGGGTTTTATGAAAGTGCTGACAGCCCACAGAGACACAGCATGGAGATGAGGATGGAACAAGGAATGTTTTTTCCTTGGAAAGGGTAACATAGTTTCCTGTAGCAAATGGAGTAAGAAATAATGCTCTGATGCAGTGTAAAAGACATACAGGGGATGGTGTGCCTTCCAGACACTCAAAACTGCTAAAAGCTTAAATAGATTTAATCTTAAAAAAGGTTAAATGGAAAAAGCTTTTAGGGAGGCTGTGGGATCTCTCCCTGCATCCCCCATTACTCTCAAAGGGGCAGGGGAAAGCTTGGCTGGCAGTGGGGCAGAAGGAACACCACTTCAGAGCTCATTTGCTCAGTTCAGTCGATGAACTTGTCTTTATAGGAAAGAGGAGGTTTCTAACTCACTGAGTTTGTACTGGATACATCAAAAGCATGGAACAGGGATCATGAGGCCAGTTGATTTTATGGGGTTCAGTCCTAGCTGGGCTTGTTCCTTTATTTTCAAATGCCTTGGCAAAATCTGGGTTTTTTGCAGTGGGAATCATGTCTCTGGTACATACAGAGTGACAGGAGTGGGTGATGAGGCTGCAGAGGTCAGGATCTTTCTGTGGAGCCCGGTTTTGATGTTTCTAAAACCTGAGAAAGGTGAAACAAAGGAGAGGCTCACTTTTAGCTCACTGTCAGTGCTGGGGCTCCAGGAGCTAATCCCCAATCCGATTCCCTGAGTTGCTGCCCTGACTGCCAGGGGGCCAGGCCGTGCCAGGGATCTCCCTGCCTCGGGGCTGGCCTGGCTTCACCTGTGGCCAGGAAAGACAGCAAAACCTGCATGGCATTGTTCTGTGACTGCCAGGCTGCTTGATCATCTAACCACAGCCTTGGTGGGTGGGAGAGCCCAGGGTGTGCTTGTCCAGCCAAGATCTCCCCAGCAGGTTCAGGGGCAGTGGCAGAGCAGGAGCAGGACTCAGGTGGTCTCTGTTGGTGATGCAGCTGCAGGCACATGGGGCTCTGAACCTGCCTCTGGAATGGAAAAATCCAGACTGTATTTCCTCTAATGAGCAGAGGAACGTGTCCATGCCCAGAGGCTGCTTAGAAAACCCGTTAAGAGCTGCCTGCATAAAGGGTGCTAAAAGCCCTGGCCTGTGTGTTAATCCCTGCTGGTACAGGGAGGCTGGAGATAGTCCCTGTGCCATCTTTCCCCTGTGCAGGCTGAGAGAGCAGGCTGGGATCTCTAAGCAGGTGCCAGCAGACCTCATTGAGGTGGTGCTGGTGGCTCCTCTGAGGGGCTGAGGGCAGTTTGAGGAGCTCTCTGGATGTTGTAATGTCCTCAGCCAGGTCTGTGTTTGGCCTGCCACAAGGAGCAATGGCAGACAAATGTAGTTTCATAACATCTTGTTCCTGAGAGCAGTTAGTGCCTTGAGGATCTCTGAAATTCCTTTTCTAATTACTTGAGTGTTTCTTTGCTCCAGAAATGCTGGAGCTCATTGCTACAATTAATAGTCTGTTCAACTCAGGTCTTTTCCCTTTTTCTTTTTTTTTTTTTTTTTTGGTCCCCCACAGTCTTGGGAAAAGTCCTGAGTGCAGTGGGCAGTGCACAGTTACTAATGTCACAGAAGTTCCAGCAATTCCACGGCCTCTGTGAACAAAACTTGGTGAGTCTGGATCTCTTCCTCCTGGTTTCTGAGGATGCCTCTCTTTCAGCAGCACTACAAGGACTTGGTCAGGTGTTAAAAGGCTCCTGTCCCTGTGAACACAAAGCCAGTGCAGCTCTGGGAAGGGCTGGATTAGCACAGAGGTGCCTCCTGCTTCTGAAGGGCTTTTTGAGACAAACCCCTGAGGGTTTGGCTGGGCCAGATAAATCTGCTCTTGGCTACACATGCTCCCTTTGCGTGTGTGACTGGTGACACTGTCCCAGGTCACTGGGAATTGATCTCTGAAAGGGAATGCAGGGGGTTTGCCCTTGCTCGGAGCTGACCTGGGCTAATGGGCATTGATGGAATCTGTGGTTTAGTTTTCCCCTCAAGCTTTATTGAAACATGGATTATACAAACTTCCTCAGAGGCGAATTCCCCTTTAGATGTAAAATAATCTTGGAGAGACTTGAGGAGCAGCAGGGGGTAAAATGCTGATCCCAGCGGAGCAGCAGCACCAGCAGAGCTTTGTGTGAGCTGCTCGGATCTGATCCCATGTTCTCCAGGGTTTGTGGTAGTAGTTCAGCTCTCTGGGAACTGGGAAAATCCTGTTCTTGGAAGAAACTTAAGCTACTTAAAGTTTTTCAACCCAGCCTGAGAAGTACTGATGCTTTCAGGTTGTTTTGGGCAGAAATGTAGCAAAATAATTTTGCTCATGAAAGTTCAGTTTGGCTCCTTGAGTGCTGTACATCCAGGCATCAGAGCTGGGTATCAATTTCCATCATTTTGCTCCCTAAAATCAGGGTATCTGTGTAAGAACCCAGTGTTGCTCTGATTGCCACGCTGGGCACATGCTGTTGGAGGTTCCTGCTGTGGGGTTAGTGCCAGCACTGGGTGTCTGGTTCAGGATTACTCTGCTGGAAGGAGGAGTGCAGTCAGGACCTGCTTCTTGAGCTTGGCAGAAATCATTTGGGCTGTAAATGATGGCTTTGTGTGTCCATGCTTAGGGCCAGTGTCTCCTGTGGGTTCTCTCTGCATTTGCTTGCAGGCAAACATGAAAAGGGTAAAGGTGCTGTGCACACTGCTCTGCTGGGTGTGTTCTTTCTGAAATGGTGTTTTTAATGCTTCCCCTTCTAGAACCCTAATGCAAATCCCAGACCCACAGCCCAGGACTTGGCTGGATTTTGGGATCTCCTCCAGTTGTCCATTGAAGACATCAGCATGAAGTTTGACGAGCTGTACCACCTCAAAGCTAATAGCTGGCAATTGTCTGAGACACTGGAGAGAAAGGTGAGTGAGGGGCACTGGGGAGTGGCCAGAACACCTTGTACATATTTGAGGTACCTGAGGTCTGGTTTTGTCTGCAAACAGATGCTCTCAAGGGCTTTTGCCATCCTGCACTTGTCATCTCACAACCTCACATCTCACAACCTCACAAGGCACCAAGGCCATTCCTCTTGAGCAGTAGTGGGAACAGTTTTGCACAAGGGGAAAAGGTGTTGGATGGAGAGAGCCCAGAGTGGTGAGCACTGATGCAGGAGCCTCAAGTGTTCCTAGCACTGTGCAGATGGATTTAACTGCCCGAGTAATGTAAAAAACAATTTGAACCTTTGGAAAATGCAGGAGAGGTGGTGTCCTGGCTCTGCCAGTAAGGGTAGGGAGGACCATGGCTCAGGCCAGGGTGGCTTATTAAAATTTTGCAGTTCCACATCGAGTTGTGTCTTCATGCTGCCTGTGCTATGCTCTGAGCTACAGCTGAATGAGGCAATTTCTGAACTCCAGGCCACTCCAGAAGAGCCCTGTACCATGAAGGCTGCATGGAGGGGAGGGTTAGGCTGGATAACAGGAAAAGGTTCTTCCCCCAGAGGGTGCTGGCACTGCCCAGGCTCCCTATGGAATGGGCACAGTCCCAAGGCTGCCAGAGCTCAGGGGGCATTTGGACATCGCTCCTAAAGACAGGGTGTCGTGCCAGGGCTGGATCAGTGATCCTGGTTGTGGATCATCAGCCTCTGGATTGTGGACTCCCATCCCAGGAAAGGTCCATGGCCACGTTGGACAGGGTCTAGTGGAAGGTGTCCCTGCCATGGCAGAGGGGGTAGAACTGGATGATCTTCCCAGACCATTCTGTAATTCCATGATTGTTGTGGGTCCCTTCCCATTCAGGACATTGTGATTCCATGAAATGCAGAATGGCTCCTTGTAGAACCCAGGGCTGCTGATTTTGAGGGGTGTTTTGCTGCAGAGCTGCTCTCCCCCAGCATGATCCCAGTCCCTCCGGCAAGGCCCTGCCAGGGCAGAGCCAGCACCCAGCTCCACACGTTTATATCAGGTCTGGGTTTTTCCTTACTGTCTCCCTAAAGGAAGAGAAGAAACCACCCCCTCCAGTGCCAAAGAAGCCGGCCAAGTCCAAATCGCAGCTGAGCCGGGACAAAGGCTCCGACTCGGACAAGCAGCGGCAGGAGGCGCGGAAGCGGCTGATGGCGGCCAAGCGCGCAGCGTCCGTGCGGCAGAACTCGGCCACCGAGAGCGCTGACAGCATCGAGATCTACGTCCCTGAGGCCCAGACCCGCCTCTGAGCCTGGCCAGGGCCAGCCCGCGGCTTTTATAAGTCATTAAATGGAAAAAAAAAGGTTCTCTTGAAACTAGTGTGATTTATTCAGTCTAGAGACAATGAGCCATCCTTGAAAAGGGCTCCTGAGTTGGCTTTTTTTCTCTCTCAGCTTTAAGTAATGAAGATTTTAACAAAAAAAAACCACAAAAAATACAAACAAACAAACAAAAAAAATGCCCCTCGTTTTCTCCCCAGCTGTGGTGTTGCTGAATGGACTGGACAGACTCCTGGGAACTCCAGCCCCTCAACTTGGAACTTCAGTCTTTTTACTTGTTCTATCTCATGAGAATTATTAGCTTGTTTACAAGAAGAGGACAAGAAAACACGAAGCCTTGAGCACTTGCCATGCTGTGTTCTTCCTCCTCCTCAGATCTGTTCTGCCCTTCTCATCCTTTATTTTTCCCTCCTCCTGCTCCCATTCTCCCACCCTTTGCATGGTTTCGGTTCCCGTGTCCGGACCCCCCTGTCCCCGCAGAGAACACCTGTGGTGTGTCATTCCTGCTGCCTCCTCCAGCCAGCAGCCTCCTGGCCTTTGTGTTCTTGGGATGGGGATGTTGGGGCAGGGGAGGACGGGCACAAGGGGCCGTATCCTCGGTTTGTTGGAGGGAGAGGAGGCCGGGGCTGTGGAATGTGGGGTTGAAGCACAGCCCAGAAGCAAAATGTGCAATAAATCTGGTGCAGGGGCTCCCAAGAGCCGGACCCCGCTCCGGGCACAGGAGCAGAGCTGAAGGACCACAGAGCACGAGCCACATCACTGATTTCCTTCCTCCTCCCATTCCGACACCATTTTCCTTGGCTGGCTGCTGGAGAGAGCTGCAGCGGGGGCTGTGGGGTCGGTGTGTTCAGGAGGAGGGGTGTACATATGCACATATACACTTAGTAGTACCTGTATAGTAATTCCTACACACGGATCCTGCCCACGCCGCCGCGGGGGTGGGCAGATGTATAGCATATATTTTTACATGTACTATATCTAGATGTGTGTCCAAGTGTGTGTAAAAATATATACCCTGTGTGTAAGCAGATGACTATTTTTTCCTTATCTCCCTGCTCTCTGGGTAGAGGAAGGATTGCTAAATATTTTTTAGCCCATTTTTTTTCCCCTTTGTAGGTCTCCTTTCCGGTCTGGCTCTTCGGAGCCAGAGCTGCCACCCCTTGATTCTTTGCCGCCCTCTCACACTGAAGGTTTTTGTCCTGAGGGATCTTGCTGGGGATTGGTTTTTTGTGGGTTTGTTTTTTTTGTGGGGGTTTTGGTTTTTGGGGTTTTTTTGGGTTTTTGTTTTGGTTTTTTTCCTCTTCACATGTTTGAACAAGTTGGGAGATTGTGTGCTACTGTCATGGGGGTGGAGGTGGAATCCCAGTGGTTTCAGTGAGAGTGTTGGTGATCCAGAAGGCAAAAAATAAATAAAAGTGAAATCCTGAATGATGCCTGCTGCCCACTGTGTGCTGTTCATGAAAGCTGCTCTCAGAGGTCTCTGCCCCAGCCAAAGAATTCCACAGCTTGGCTGTGCTGGACATTGGCCTGGAGTTGGGGATCAGGCTCTGATCCCAGGGGACGAGGGGAAGCAGCCTCAGGTTGCTCCAGGGGAGGTTTACACTGGATATTGGGGAAAGTCCTTGAAGGAACCTGTGCTCAGGGCTGCCCAGGGCAAAGGGAGAGTCCCTGGCCCTGCAGGTTCATGGGCACATCGGGGCTGGGACTCACCTTGGAGGCCTTTCCCAAACCTAAAGATTCCATGGGGACAGAGACATTGTTGGGTTGCACTGTTGAGTTTTGGGGCAGATTGTAAAGATGAAGCTTTTGGGATCTCTGGTAGAGAAAGGGGGAACATCAAGGAAAGGCGGGGGTTAATTTTTTTATTTTATCATTTACTCTTCCCAGCTGCTGCTCAGAGTGCTCAAACAATCCTTGCTGCCCTGGGCTGGGCTTGCTCAAAATATTTATGTTCTTACATAATATGGATTTGTATATTTATGTGCATATATTTTAACATGCAAGTGAATTTATAAAGCTGTAAAATTAATTAATTTTAACACAGTTTTGTAATTTATAATTAATACAATATTTTAAATTCACCTACATCTATTAAAATACATACGCAAATACAGAGGTAGAGTTACATATGTCTATATGCATATACATATAAATATGTATAACACATGAACAAAAATGTGTTATAGATATTTAAACACGCCTTTTATAAATCTGAGAACTATTTGTTGTAGCTATTTAACACCCCTTTTATAAATAATTTCATACCCACGCCTTGTATCCACCCGTTTGGGCCCACAGGAAGCGGGCAGCCAATCACGGGGCTGCCTGAGGTCACGTGGGGAGGGTGGTGTCACGAGGTGGCTGCCTGCCAATCACAGGGCGGCGTGACGTTAACAAAATGGCTGCGCCCTGCCATAAGATGGCGGGTGAAACAAAATGGCCGCCCCCACTGGATACAGGGGGTGTGGCTGCGTGTCAAAGTACTTCCGGGTCCTATCAACCAATCACAGCGCAGCACGTGCCGCTACGGTGGCCGGGAGGGGGCGGGGCCTCTTCTGCTCCGTGCCCAGCTCCGGCAGCAGGGCCGTCCCCGCCTCAGTGTCCCGTGTTCCTGTCAGGGGTCCGTGTCAGGGATCCACATCCCCTGTCCCGTGTCCCTGTCCCGTGTCCCTGTCCCCGTCTCGGCCGGGCGCTGCAGCCCCGCGCTCTCCCGGCTCTTTCCGCGGCTTTCCCGGAGCAGCCCCGGCCCGGAGCGTTTCCCGGGAATCTTCGGGAATGTCCCGCGGCGCCGGCTCTCCCCGCCCGGCCATGGCCCGGTGCCCGCGGTGAGCGGGGCATCCCCGGACACAGCCCCGCACATCCAGCCGGGGCTCGGGGACCCTCGGGGATCCTCGGGGACCCTGGGCCTGCAGCGGTCCCCGCTCCTTGCGCTTTTTTGGGCACAGCCCGGGCCCGCCCCCGCCATGGCGGGGCAGCTGCGGGGAGGGGCCCGGAGCCTCAGCCACTCGGGGGGAGCTGGGGAAGGTTTGGCAGCGGCGTTCCAAGAATGAAAGGCTGGGAGAGCTGAGAATGTTCAACCTGGAGAAGGGAACGCTCCGGGGAGACCTCAGAGCACCTTCCTGGGCCTAAAGGGGCTCCAGGAGAGCTGGAGGGGGACTTGGGACAAAGGGTGGGAATGGAGTCACATTAACAGAGATCGAGGATAAATGGGATATTGGGAGGGAATTGCTCCCTGTGAGGGTGGGCAGGCCCTGGCACAGGGTGCCCAGAGCAGCCGCGGCTGCCCCTGGATCCCTGGAAGTGTCCAAAGCCGGGTTGGACGGGCCTTGGAGCAACCTGGGACAGTGGAAGGAGTCCCTGCCATGGCAGGGGGCTGTGCCTAAATGGTCTTTAAGGTCTTTCCAACCCAAACCACTCCGGGAAGTACGAGAGTGTCGAGAGTGTGGCATTAATGAGGCTGTTCCGTGTGCCCGGGTCAGAGCCCGGGGGCTGCAGGGCTGGGACAGGGCTGGGGGTCCCACTGGATGTCCCCTCGCAGCCACCAGCCCCTGGACCAGCAGCACCAGCTGATGCCCTGGGAGGAGATGGAGGAGGGGGTGGGGGGAGATCAGAGCGGTGCCACCCCCGGGTGAGCCGTGTGTCCCCACACTGTCCCTCAGCAGTGTCCTGAGGCCCCGGGAGCTGCTGTGGTGGAAGCAGGTCCCCAGAGCTCTGCTGGACCTGCCCAGGGTCCCCAATCCTGCCCGGGGACAGGGGCCCCTCTGTGCAGCTCAGGAGCCCCGAGGTGCTGCCTGGGGCCGCAGGAGGGGCAGCAGAGCTGTGACATTCCCAGCTGTGACCCCTGTCACGGTGCAGACCCCCACGCTGGGCTGGCAGACCCTGCCCGAGCTCCAGCCCCCCTTTCCCCCTGGGAATGTGCCCCACATCACATCTCTCACCCCGAACACAAAGCCCCAGCAGCTCATGGAGGGTGAGGGACACCCAGGTGCCATTCCAGGGTGGCCCAGGGGTTTCTCCTGGTGGTGGAGAGCCAAGTGAGGCACCCACAATGACAGAGTTCATTCTGACACACAGCTCGTATTTAAAAATAGCAACCAAAACTAAAAAAAACTTTTATTTGACAATAGAAAAACAAACAAAAAGATATTTACAGTAGTTTGTTATTTCTCCATAAATTTAATTCTAAAAACTCCTGCCCTCCCAATTCTCTGGTCCATCCCAGGGCAGCAGCACCAGCCCCTGGCACAGGCACAGCTCTGGGGGATGGAAACCACTTCAGTTTGACTGGGGCAAGACGAGAGCAGGAGGCCAAACAGCCTCTCCCTCCCCCGGGGCAAGGGACAGAGCTGCAGGGGGCTGACAAGGTGAAAGAGGGAGTCCCAGAAACGAGGACTTTCCCTGGAACGGAGACAAAGGGCGAAGAAAGGCTGGACATAGAAATGTGGCTGGGGGTGAGAGGCACACGATGGGCACCCTGCCACCCCAGTGCCACCCCAGCACTGCACAGGGCACCTGCCAAGGTGACGCTATTGGGAAGCCTTCCCACAGCACACCCTGCCCCGGCACCTTCCTTCTGAAGAAATGGAGGTTGGGAACACACCACTCCTCCAAATCAGTGCCTTTCCCTTCCAGCCTCCCCCAGTCCTGCGGCTGCCCCCCCTCAGTCATTAACTCATCTGCCTAATTACCGACACCATCAGTGCTCCTCGGGACGGGGCACAGTCATTGACTCGCATCCCCAGCACAGCACCCAGGGACACCCAGCCAGGAGCAGCCCCAGAGCCCAAAAGCCACCCAGAGCCCAAAAGCCACCCAGGCCGCTCCCAGTTTGTCACTAGAGGTCCCCAGCACCCCACAGCCACACCGGGAGGGGACACGGAGCAATATTCCATCCTCCGCCTGCCCAGCGCTGCTTTCCAGGAACCCCGCGCTGCACTTGCAGGACTCACACAGTCGTGCCCGCACCACGCCTCTTTCCAAATGTTTGATGGAAAAAAAAATAAAATAAAAAAAGAAAATGAAGTCGGGGACAAAATTCACAGTCTCAGCTCTGCCCAGGCTTGGCCATGAGCTCCAGGCACAGCATGCACACATTCAGCATGAATGCGAGGGGAACACAGGGAAGGTGTGGAAATGCTTATAGATTTAAAAAAAAAAATAAAAATAAAAATAAAAATAAAAATAAAAGAAAGTAATAATCATGTAATAAATCACAATTAAAGGGAAAATGTTTCAACAGAAAACTTGCTAAACAGCACCATAGAGATTTCTACTGGCAGCATCCAGAACAACCTAAAAAGGAAGAGGAGGGTCCTATTTTTTCCATGATAAAATGCCACAGAATCCATGTTTCCAGTTCATCCATCCTTTGCCCTTCCCTGGGCAAGGCAGGGCCCCCGGCCAGCACCAGGAAAGAGAAAGGCCCCCCAGAAACAAAAGGAGGGCCAGGGGGAAGGGTGGGAGGAGGAAAAGATCAGAGATTTGGGAGACAAAGCTCTTCATCCACAGTCCTTAAAATAGACACTGGCATTAAAAAAATAGGTTCTCTCTGTCTCTCTGAAGAAACGGTGCTGGCTGGAGCCTCGTTTGCAGGAGAGGAAGAAATCAGCAGGTTTTCCAGGGAAGCTCCAGTGCCCGCTCTGGCCATACAGCAGGGACAGGGCACTGCCAGCGCCGAGGTCTGGGCACGACGGTCCCTGCACAGCCGGGGCACCGTCCTCGGCAGCCAGGGCATCTCCAGCAGGAGGATGGCGGCGTGGGACAGGCCTTCCTCTGCCGCCTTGGCTGCCGAGAAGAGACCAGAGCGGCTCCTGGGATGGGCTGTGGGGGTGAGGTGGAGACCGGGAGGGTCGGACCCCCGGGGAAGGGCACCCTGCGGGACCCGGCCCGGGGTTATTTGGAGGCTCCAGGGGGCTCGGTGTGGGGAGCCAGGGGCAGCTGTCCTGCCTGCCGCTGCCGCTCCAGCTCGGCCGCCTTCTGCAAGGCCACCTCCACCAGCAGCTGGAAGCTGCTGAAGTCGTCCCCGAAGAGCTCGGGGGGCGTCGGGGGCGGCGTGTTAAAGAGTCCGGGTGTGGGGCTGCCCGCCTCGGCCCGGGCCAGCAGGGTCAGGGTGCTGCCGCCGGGCCCCGCGCCCGCCCTGGCCTCGGGCCCGGGGGGCTTCTCCCAGTCGGGGCTGCGGGCGCTCACCACGGCCAGCGCCCGCGCCGGGTGGCACAGTACCTGCGGGCACACCGACATGGACAGCACCTTGGCGGGCGGCACCACCAGCACCCCCGAGCCGGCGGCAGCGCCCCGCGGCACGGCCACATCGCCGGCTTTGCCCCCCCGGCGGGAGATGGTGAACTGGTTGGGGTCCTTGCCGTCCTTGCGCAGCATGTCGGGGAGCAGCCGCCGCCGGGCGTTGATGAACCAGTTGCAGATCTGTGAGGAGAGAGGGGCGCGCTGGGGTCAGCCGGGGGCTGCAGCCCCGGGGCAAAGCAGCAGCGGCTCCCCCAGCTCCGACAGCAGCACCCCCCGAGCAGGCCAGCGGCTCCCACACACCCCGGACCGCCTCAGGCCTCCCCTCAGCCCTGCACCTCCTTCCCGTGGGGCTCCAGAGAGGCACAACTAGCGCTGGAAGCCACGGAAACCCCAACACCGGCTGCTTCCTGCCTGGCACCGCCTGCCCGGGGCTGCCCTTCCTCCCCGCAGCGCTGCCGGCTGCCCCGGCCCTGCCGGGCCCTGGGCAGGAGCGTGCCCCCAGCTCCGCTCTCAGCACAGCAGCGGGCACAGCCCCGGGCCCGAGCCAGCCCCCAGCACAGCAGCACTGCCCGGAGCCCCAGGAGCTGCTGTGCTGCCCCTGAGCAGAGCCGCCCCCCAGGGAAAAAGGGGGCTCAGCACTGTGCCCCCACTGCAGCCCCGAGGTCCCAGCTGCAGTACTGCAGGCACTGCCCAGCTCCTGCATTCCCCAGGCAGAGGCCATGCATGGCATTGCATAGAGCCCGCCCAGAGCCCATCCTGCAGGTCCCCGGCACAGGGTGGGGATGGTTTTTCCTTCTCCAAGTGACCCATCCCGGAGCTCAGCCCTGTTTCCACACTGCTGCCGGTGCCAACATGCTGCCAACCCAAACGGGAGCACCGAGGCTGCCAGAGCAGACGGATGGCAGAACAGCACGGATGGAAAACCCTAGAAACCATCAGCTGATGGAGCCGCAGCCTCTCAGCCTCTAACAGGGCCGGGAACGGGGCAGCAGAGACACCTTCCTGTGCCTCTACCCACGAGCAGGGCCACAGCTCAAGAGCTAAAGGCACTCCCAAGCATCTGCACAGCAAATCTGGCAGCCCTTTGCCATTATTGAGCCTTGGCCATGGATTGTTTCAGCATCTTTATATAAAATGCTACACTAAAATAACTGCCTTCTAGAAAACAATTAGAATAAATCAAGAGGGGGGGGAAAGTGATCTTTCCTAAATCAGCAGCTATGGAAAATATTTTCCCCAAGGAGAGAGAACTTGCCGCAACTTCAATGACAGCAAGACCTCAGCTCTCAATTTTTTCTTTAAGACAATATTTGGCATTAAAACCCTCAAATACACCAGTCTTACTCCCTTTTCTGTTCCAAACCCCCTCCCTTGCAAGCCTTAGCTGGGTTCCCTTGACATAATCCTGGCCATCTACCACTGTAATCCCCAACCAAAGACATGAACTCCCAACAAAAAGCCCAACTCCTCAGTGCTTTCCCCAAAATCCTACCTGTCCCCACCACCATGCTCCTTCCAGTATTCAATTCCCATTGGAGAGCGCAGCAGGGGGACGGGCACACACAGTCACTGTGACTGCAGGCACTGTCACAGCTGGGACATGCTCTGGCTCTGAAGCAGTTTATTTGTTTTCAGTCATGGCCATCCCTTTCCCTCCCACCAGCACACCCCATTCTGTCCCTTTGGGCAGTGTCTGTCCCCCCCAGCACTGTGAGAGCAGCATCTCCTCCAGAGAGGAAAAGCCCATCCATCCCACAGCAGGGCACAGGCTTGGAAAGCTGCTGCTGTCCAGGAAGCCTCAGTGGGAGCAGGTGCCACTTTCCTAGCGCTGGAATTCCTGCAAGGGAGGCACAAGGCTTCCTGCTCTCCCTGATCCCTGGCTACCAGTGCCTGGCTCCAGCCCCTCAGGTCCCTGGAGCAGCAGGGGGGTGCACAAAGAAACAAATGGGGGAAGGTGTGGCTGTGGTGGAGCACTGCATCCCAGAGGCTTTTTGGAGGGGTCTGATGAGCAGAACTGATCCCCACAGCCACACCACGGGGTGTCCCACTCCTCCACCCCAACAGGCAGAGGATTCCTGCTGCATCCCCTTGGACTGGCACTGGGAAATTCGGCAGGGACCCCCTGCCCAGTGAGTACAGGGGGCACACACTGCCTGTGGGGGTCACTTGGGGCAAACAACAATCAGCAGGGCCACACCTCAACACGAGCCCATCCGTGTGCCAACACCCTCCTGGGTCCCACAGAGCTCAGGCACTCACAGGGACCTGCCAGTCCCACCTGAGCCCTGGGGAAGCCCCCGTGTGCCAGGCACTGTCATGCCAACCTGGGCCAGGACAAGCCCAGTCCCCACAGCCCCAGGCCTGCCACTGCTCTCCCGACACTCAGCCTTAGGCCCATCCCAGAGCTCCAACCTGTCCCCCAAGCAGCTGCCAGACAATTCTGTGACACAGCCAACACTTAAAAAAACACTTTAAAATGAAAGAGCAGGTTTGCCTTGCTAGCCAGGAAGAGGGGAAGGAGACAGCCCCTGCCCACACTCAGTGTTCTGAGCCACAGGGAGAGGAGCCAGAGGTACAGAGGAAGCTCTGGGAGAGGAGCAAAGCCACTGGCCCTCACCTGCTGCCCTGCACCCCACTGCACCCCAGATCCAGAGAACAGAGTGAAGCCCACACTCTGTCAGGATGGGAGAGGGGCACAGGGCCCAGGGCACCAGGCTGTGCATGGACACAGATCCTCCCAGACACCCTAAACACAGGCAGGGAGCACACCAGAGTGGGAAGGACAAGCCCTCCTCACTGCCACTGCTGTCCAGGGCTCCTGCCTGGGCACCCACCATGGTGCCACACGGAGAACATGAGCCCACAGCCAGAAGCAGGACAGGGAGACTCCTGGAGAGAGCTCCCCTGGATGGAGCTGGTGTAACTGGGAACAGGTGGGCCACCCAGCACTTAACAGCCCAGGGGGCTCAAAGCACAGCCTAGCTTCTCACTCCTGGTTAAAGTCACAGAATACCCTGAGCTGGAAGGGATCCACAAAGATCATCAAGTCCAACTCCTGGTCCTGCCCAGCCCCAGGGCTGTCCTCTGCCCAGCTCTGTGTGCAGGGGATGGTCATCCTGGCCTCTGCTGGGGGCGTCCAGGGGAACAGGATAAAGTAGCATCCCCCAAAACCCTCCCATTTGTGCAACTTTTACGGACAACAAGGTATTCAGCCTGCCCTCACTCCAGTCCCTCCACTTTCCAGCCGGCCAAAAATGTTCTGCACCAGCAGAGCTGGTCCCCGGGGCTCAGACGACTCCCCAGAAGAGACCCTCCCTTCACACAGGTGCCTGAACATCCCTTCCCTCGCTTCCTCGCTGCCCTTCAGTGACGAACGATCCCAGCCTGCCCAGTCCTTTGGGATCCTCGGTGGGGTTCTCCTGTCGCACGCTGGCAGTGTCCCCAGCGGTGCTGGCTCCTACCTGCAGCACGGAGAGGCTGGTCTGTCCCGAGAGGCTGAGCTTCTCCTGCTCCGAGGGGTAGGCGTTGAAGCGGTGCTCGTACAGCCAGTTCCGCAGGATCTTCACCGACTCCTTGGGGAGGTTGCCCCTTCTCTTTCTCTTGCACTGCGAGGGGTCAGGGGATATGGCGCCGTCCTCGTCCCCCGGGTCACTGTCCGACATGGTGGAGCTGCCCGCGGGACCCCCCTGGCTGAAGCCTGGAGAAGGGGAACCAAAGGGAGCTTCAAGTGGTGTCCGGTCGGGGGAGGGGAAGGGGCCTCCCACCGACCTCCCCCCGCCTCCAACGGGGGTCTCACCCCCTCGGGCCCGCCTGGGGGGAATCCCGAGGCAGAGATCCCGCGGGGGTGGAACAAACCACCGGGACAGGGGCACCGAGCAGAGCCCCGGGGTGCGGAGGAGCTCAGCGCACGGCACGGGGCTCGGGGGCACTCGGGGCTCGGGGGGCACCGCAGCGGGGGGAAAAATAAAAAAATCAAGCACGGGGTGGGGTGGGAGGAGGGGAAGTTAAAAACAAAAACAATCTCAGCAGGAGAAAGAGGCCGGAGCTGGAGAGTGGGAGAGGAACCACGCGGGGTCATTGTGCGGCGGGGATGGAGGCGGGGGCGGCTGTCACGGGCCGGGGGCTCTGCTCGGCGCTGCGGGCCGGGGCTCGGTGCTGCGGAGCGATGCGTGCCGGGCCCCGTCGCCCCTCCGGCCGCAACAGGCGGCGAGGAGCCGGGGCCGCCGACACAAAGCGGAGCAGCGGCGGCCGCGGCCCCCTCGGGCGGCGGGGGGAGAGAGGAGTCGGAGAGCGGCCCCGGCCCCGCACTCCGGCCCCGAGTTATCCCCGGCCGGGCAAACTCCGCCGTAACTCCGAGCTGCGGCGGGGACGGGCGGGACCCCCGCCCGCGGCCCCCGCAAACTTCGGGAGGCGCTGGCGCGGCCCGTCCCGCTCCGTCCCGCACAAAGGCGGGGGCCGCCCCGCTCCCCCCGCGCCCCCCGGGATCCATCTTTGCGCTCACCCCCGGGCCGCCGCCGCCGCCTGGGAGCTCGCATGGGCCGCGCCGGGGTCTCGGTGCCGGGGCCGGTGCGGGGCCGTCCCGCGGCGGCGGGCGGGCAGCCGGGCGCGGCGGAAAGTTTTGGGTGGGCGGCGGTGACAGATGCCGAGACAGAGTTCCCTTTGTTCCCGAGGAGGCAGGAACTCGCCGGGCCCCCCGCCCCCGGCCCCGGCCCGCCCGCCCCCGGCTGTCACCGGGCACCGGGGCCCCCCCGCCCCGCGGAGTCCCGGCCGGTACCTGGCGCCGGCGGCCCCCCGGGCTCGGCCCCGCTGCCGGACACGGCCCCCGCGGGAGGGGGCAGGGACAGGGAGAGCCCCGGAGCCCCCGCACCCGCCCGGCCCCCCGTGGAAGCTCCCCCTGCGGGGCTGCACCCGCACAGGGGCACCCCCGGGGACACCCAGCCACGGGCACCCACGTGGGGACAAACAGCCCTGGGGACACCCAGCCTGGGACACCCAGCCTGGAATGCTCACCTGGGGACACCCACATGGGGAAACCCACCCAGGGACACCCACTTTGGAACTCTCACCCAGAGTCATCCACACAGAGGTGCCCCACAAGGCACTGCACAAGTTCCTTCCCCCTGACTGAATCCTGTAGCTGACCCCCAGGGGTTACCCGTGTCTGTGGGCAGGGGACAGGAGCAGGCCTTGGGACAGGAACTGCAGTGGCAGGTGTGGGTGACAGCCCTGGGGACCTCAGAGCACCCTGAAGTTCCACCAGTGCTTCATTTGGTCATTAGCAGATGGGAGATCAGAAGCCCAGCGCATCACTGCTCCCATGACAGAGGAAGGTGTTTCCAAGCCATGGTGGTGACCGAGACAGAACCAGGTGGAGCCCTTGCTGTGCCATGGCCATCAGGCTGGCCAAGGTCTCTGGAAGCCCTTCTGCTCTCCCTGTGCCTCTCCGTGACCACAGCAGAGCCCACAGTCACCTCCAGAATTCTGGAGACCAAATTGCTCTGTTGATGTGCTGCTGCTCCAGGATGTAGCGAGCTTGGAGTTTCCTCACCAGAGCTCTGTGATGTGGGGCTGGGTTGCACTGTCACCCTCTGCCAGGTGCTCAGTGGACCCCAAGGGGACGTGTCCATCATGGGTCCCATGGGGTGGTGTCTTCCTCAGTGGGAAGAGAGAGGAGCTGCTCTGAGCAGTGGTGCCATGTCCCAGCGCCTGTGATGGAGAAAATGCCACCATGGGAAGCCAAGACAGCCGTGTCCTGCAGCCAGCCCAGAGCCCTGCCCACTGAGAGACCCCTGTCTTGGGAGGACATCTCTTGGGGATGTTCTTTTCAGGATGTCCATGCTCCATCATGGCCACATCCACAACTCATCCTTGCCAGGCCAAGCACACACGTGGGCATCCCCCAAGGACCTGTGTGCTGCTGGGACACAAAAGTCACTGGGTCCTGCTCCACCTCTCCCCATGAAGACCTGGCTTGATGTCACCCTGCCTCAGGGGCAGCTCCCCCCTCTGCAGGCTGTGCTACAGCTCCCCTCCCTCCCCTTTCTGCTGCCTGCAGGGTAAAAAATGGGAATTCACGTATTGAAAAAAACTACAAAACCTCTTCTCTTATGGTCGACTTTTGGTCTGGGAAAAGCAGGATGTGTGGTGCAATAAGGGATTAAATAGCAAAAGAAAAAGGAGAACTCCTTAAATCATTTATTTTGTTGCTTCTAAATCTTCCACGACCTAAGCGGAACTGTGCCCCAGCCTGCTATGGCTACATTAATGCCAAGGCTGCAGGGGCCGGTGAAGCACAGCTGGGCTGTGGGGAGCCCTGGCAGCAGCTCTGACCCTCTGCAGGGTCACTCCAGGGCAGGGAGCGTCCCCTGGCTGGCTCCTGCCCGCTGTGAACCATCACCGGGCAGGGTGGGCTCATCCTGCCCCCTCTGCTCCCTCTGCAGCCTGAGGTGTGACAGCCCAGACACGCCCTGGACCCTGCCCGGGGTCTGTGTCAGCCACAGTGCCCAAGCAGGACTGTCCTCCTGAGCCATCTACTTTTGCTCCCAGCTTTTGGAAAATGCTGGTTTAGTCTTCCACCAAATTGAGACAACCGGGAGATGTCCCTGGGCTCAGCCCCTCTCCAGCCCCCTCCACCTGCCTTCGCTCCCTGGACTGGTAGTGTGGAAGTAATTTTGGAAAAATCCCATTGGGTGCCTGAGCAGAGCATGGAAGGAACCTAAATCCCTGGGCAAGCCCAGCCTGGCATCCCAGAGAGCTTCCAGGTGACGGGGAATAAGGAGCCTCTGGGATGAGGGGCCAGGGAAGGGGCTGTGGTGCATCTTCCTGCCCTTCCCTCTTCGAGCTTGTCCAGGCTGAGCCCTGCCCGGGCCCATTGACATGATAATACTATTAAACTTCGGCAATTTGAACAACAATCAGCCAACAAGAGCCTGAGGGGGGAATGCTGGAAACCCAGAGGGATTCTGGGAACCCCAGGGGGATGCTGGAAACCCAGGGGAAGCTGGAACTCCCAGGGGGATGCTGGAATCCCGACAGCCTCCCAGAGTATCACACTTCCCAGGCTGGACTCTCCATCCTTTGCCCACCCTCTGATGTTCAGTCTGCACTTTTAGCAAGGAAAATTGGATTTGTGGATGGTTGTGTTGGCTGTTTGCTGCCGCCCTGCCCTTGGGGCCACTGCTGCAGGCTGGGATTCCCCCGGCAGGACTGGTCCTGGGAGCTGGGCTGGAGCCCCTCTCTGGGCACTGCAGCCCCTCCATCTCCTCCTGCCCCTTCCCATGGGGAAGCTCTGCTCTGTTTCCTTCCTGGAGGCTGTAAGGCAGGACAGACCCTCTCTCAGCAGGCACTGCTGTACCCTTTTCCTCTCTGATGTTCCTCTAACCCTCTGGACATGGCAAGAGGAGTGTGGGGACACCAGGATAGAGCTCACAGCACTGGAGAAAAGCAAAAACTTCGGGGTCAGGGGGTTCTGGGCTGCACTGGGAGCTGTGTCACAGCCCAGGCCCAGAGCTGGGCTGCCCAGTACAGGGGACAGGGACAGACTGGACAGAGCCCAGCACAGGGCCATGATGGGCCACGATGGAGGGGCTGGAGCATCTCTGCCATGAGGAGAGGCTGAGAGAGCTGGGACTGCCCAGCCTGGAGCACAGCACGCTCAGGGCATCTCACTCCTGGGGATAAATACCCAGGGTGGGGCTGCAGAGGGGATGGGGTCAGGGACAGCCCCAGGGGCCACGGGCACAAAGTGACACACAGGAGGGGCCCTGTGAGCTCAAGAGACACTTTTGCACTGGGAGCAGCTCTTCTAGACTTACCAAAAGGTTCACCTAACTTGGCCCCAGGTGAACACTTCTGAAATGAATGTCTTAATTTTGCTGCTATATAATACCTTTGAAAAGAGTCAGGTCAGGTCCACCTACTGCCTCTGCTGTGTCTGATGCAGCCCAAGCAGAGTTGATTTTCTGGGCTGCCAGTCCCCATGGCCAGGTCACATCCAATTGTCACCAGCAGATCCCCCAGGGCAGCTCCCAACCCACCCAGCCCCCAGCCCGTGCTGCTGCTGGGGCTGCTCTGACCCAGCTGCAGGACCTTGCACTTGGCCTGGCTGAACTTCAGGAAGTTCACGTGAGCCCAGATAGTTTTGGGGTTTCACAGATTCACCAAATCCCAGAATAGTTTGGGTTGGAGGAGACCTTAAAACTCATCTCATTCCTTCCCCTGCCATGGGCAGGGACACCTTCCTCTATCCCAGGCTGCTCCAAGTCCTGTCTAACCTGGCCTTGAACACTTCCAGGGGTGAGGCATCCACAGCTGCTCTGGGAAACCTGTGCCAGTGGAATAAGCTTATTTACTCTTCCCATAAATACCCCAGTGTCCAATAACAAATTTGTTCAGCTTTGCTGCCTCAGGGTTGAAAGTCCAACAGTGCCACCACAGCCACACCAATGCAGAGGCAGCTCAGACTGAGCAGTTTTGGCAGCTGCTTGAGGCAGCACCTCTGAGAGCCCCATACTGGAGCCTGGGGCAGCTCCCAGCTCAGACCAGCAGTGGGTCCATCCCACTCCCGGTACTGCAGGAATCTGGGCCGGTCACACAAGGTGATCCCTTGGGGTCAGAGGGCTGAACATCACTCCTGGATGCAGCTGCCCCAGGAGCCAATCTGTCCACAGCTCCAGCATCAGCTCCTCTGCCCAAAGTGATATCTGTGGGATGTTCACTTTGCTGTGTGTTCCAGCGAAGGAGGTTTTACAAAGCATCCAGGCCTCCAGAAGCCTTCAGACCTGGGAATTCTTTCTGGCAGTGGGACAACTGTAGGTTTTCCCTGGCACAGCAGTGAATTAGGGAAGCAGCTTGGTACCCATGAGGCTGGAGGTGGGCTGGTTTGGGGCTGCTGCTGAAGAGCACAAACCCTGACCCTGGGGAACTCCCTGGAGATCACAGGTTCAGCTCTTCCACATCTGACAATTTAGTTCCTTTTTTCCTGGTGTTGGTAGTGCCTGCAAAATAGAAGCACTGAGACCAAGAAGAAGCTTTTGATTCATGGATCATCTCCCAGGTGATCACCTGGGCCTGGCAAGTCTCTGATGCCTCTGATCCCAGCATATGCCCATGGAGATCCCACAGACCCTATCCAAGCCTTCCCAGCACTCTGCTGTGCACTGTGCCCTCAGCAGGTTTTGTAGGTTTGTCCCCCCATTTTAAATAAAGAATTGCTGGAAATTGCCCTCCAGGGCAGGCTTCAAGCAGCATTTTAAGACCACAGCTTCACAAGGTGGGAGCACCCCTGCCCACACAGCCTTGTCAGGGTGGTGACAAATAACAAAACCAAGGGGACAAACCCCCTCTCCGTTTCTTATCCCCTCTGTCTCTTTTCCCCCCACCCATCCAGGGTGGCACAGAAAGGTGGCCAAGCCCCTGGGACCCTGGACCAGCTGATGTGGGGAGCATGGCTGGCACCTTGCCAAGTGTCTCTCAGCCCATCCTGTCACAGGGGCTGGACAGAACGACCTTCAGCCCACCAGCTAAGACA